TTATTTCATTACTTTTAGTGGGCCTATGACGTTCAGTATCCCATACTGTATCTACAGTTAGTACTATAACACTTGAATAAAACATTCAAATCAACCCCGGCCACACTTGTAGCGGAATTTACTACCATTTCAGATTACATATCATAACTGGGTAAAAACAAGCCAGGCTGTCAATTCAATTCTGTAAACAACACTGCTTCAGCTGTGCAGCTCTCTGAGGTTTGATGTATTTTACGCTTCTCTGTGTGGCCAGTAGGGGGACTTTGAAAGATTAATCTCCCAATTTGAAAAACTGTTGTCTGTTGCTAAGACCTTTATCACTGTGCATTACAGCCTGACAACTACAAAAAGTCCTCACATCTAGTTTTATAATTGTAATCATAATTATAGGATAGAAAAACAGGTTTATAGCATGTGTATGAATGATTACTAATCAGTAATTATCAACAGCAATAGTGAGCACAAAAAAATCAAAATTTGCTCTTCTGGATCATGCATCTGCTTAACTGGTGTTCTATTAAAGTTTAATTTTTGGTCTCGCAAATTGATTTGTCTGTGTACACATTTCCATTTGGACACCGAATAGAGGGAGGTTTCACCGATCACAGAATCCAAAGAATCTCAACTGTGCGTTACTGGAAGCAGATGGTGTATGCCACAACCAAATGCTGTATGGTTGAACTTTATGGTTCAGTAGAGGTCGCAAGTTCATAGTCCACTGTCAGTCCAGGAATGACCGGTCTACCTACAGACAGCTCTGTTGTCACCTTGTAGTACACAAAGTATGTGGTACAACTGGTCTGTGGTCTTGCTTGTGTTATTGTTGGTCCACCATGAGCCACAGAGGAGAGCAAAGTTATAAGATTCAAAGAGCTGAATTGAAACAGTGTTAAAAATATTAAAAAAGTGTCCACTGTAGACACTGTATTTGCTTTTCATTCTGTACTTTTTAAATCTTCGATATATCTTTCGTAGTTCTCCCATCACCGCTGAAATCCACTCCCCTCCCTTCTCTGATCAGGCCAACTTATCAAGCTTCATTATGGTCCCGTGAATGTGCCTGTGTACATTTCCTGTCCTTTCACTGTCCGAATGGAAACATGTAATCATATGTGTTTCCATTACACTCTTAAATGGCAGGTTGGGCCGTGAGCTACAGTAGTGTGATGGGTGTGTGGTAAACTGGTTAACTTTAGATTAGTTATATGGGTACACAGGGTTCTGTAGCTCTTTCTGGCATATCTCGTAGGCATAGTCGCAAAGAGTCTATGGCAGGAATAGGTGTCAGATGACGTAAACAGTGTTGGGAACAACCACCTCTGTGTTGCTGGTGATGGTGAAAACTACTGGCTAAGAACAAAGGAAGAGAAAAGGAAAAGGGAAATGTTCGGAGACTGCAAGAAGGAAAGCCAGAGGTTACGCGGTGAGAGTAAGGACTATGCTAGAAATGTAAGGACTATTGGTGGATTCTACATGAAATCACTTTCCAGTTCGCATGCTGAACTGACCAAGGTTGTGGCAGTGTACGTCAACAGCAGTGAAACTTTAAACTAACCAGGCTCTATCCATGAACGTGCTGCACTGGTGTTTTTTTTTTAATCAGAATCAGAATCAGACTACTTTGATAATTCTAAAGAAATCATGTAAAGTGCATGATCCGGGTGCAGTATACAGTGTACAAACAAGCGGCAAATGAGTAGCAGCAATTAAAAAACATTTGACATGTCAATTAAACCGGTGATGAATAAGATGATCATGTTAAACTGTAAAATAGACTCTGACAGCTGCTGTAAGAATGACCTGCAGTAGCGCTCCTTCCTACACTGTGGGTGTAAAAGTCCACTGCTGAACGAGCTGCTCAGTGCTTGTACAGTCTCATGCAGGGGGTGGGAGGTGACCTCCATGATGGATGTTAGCTTAGACAACATCTTCTCCTCCCCAATCTGCTCGATGGACTTCAACGGACAGTCCAGGACAGAGCTGGCTCTCCTGACCAGTTTGTTAAGTTTCCCCCGTCCCTCTACTATTCCACTGCTCCAGCAGCAGCAGAAAAGATAGCAGATGCCGCCACAGTGTCGTAAAACGTCCTTAGAAGAGTCCTGTTCACCTCAAAGGATCTCAGCCGCTGTAGCAGGTGAAGACGCCTTAGCCGCTTTTAGTAAAGGGTATTTGTATTTGTGTACCAATCCAGTTTGTTATTGAGGTGAACACCCAGGTATTTGCACTCCTCCACCGTTTCCTGGATGTTCACTGGAGTAATAGGGGGTAGCTTCTTGCTGAAGTCAGTCACCAGCTCCTTCATCTTCTGGCGTTGATGCGAAGATGGTTCTGTTCACACCAGCTGGCAAAGTCATTGATGACTTCCCTGTATTCCAGTTTGCTTCCCTGTATTCCAGGAGGAGGAGTCAACAAAGAGTTACTAGATGACTGGGAAATTACAGCTGAGATGGTGAGGGAACTGCAAAGAAAGGAGTGCTAATTACCCTCTGTGCCTTCCTGTTCTCAGTTGTGGCCCCTGTGTAGAAAACACCCAGCTGAACTGGATATATTAATACTGAATATCTTAATTCCTTCCTTGGGGAGAAAAAACGATTGTCCGTATTTAAACTGTTGGCCAATAATGTGTCAGACATGTCAAACACGTCTCATGAATGCAATGAAGTCATTACAGAGAGAACACTCCTGTCACTAGAAGCCACAATCAGTTTTTGGCAAAGTGACTTTTATATATCCTTTACTTATGGCCAAGAGGGCAGCAGCAAATATTACCACTGTTGATTGTAACGTAGGTTTCATAACAGGGAGTCATAAACAAGTTTAATTATTTTATATATTCTCTTCATAAATCCTGTTGACTACATCTATTTACCAATAGGCTAAATCCGTCTAGTATCTGTGACCACAATAAAATGGCCAATTAAAAAAAGGTTACTTTTGTAAAGAAATTCCAACAATCAAAAATCAGAAATAAATGCCTTTATCTTGTACCGCTTTCCCAGAGCAAGGAAACAACTGTGCATATAGAAATAAAAGGCAGATGAGTGTTGTCTTTGTGTGTTTAAAACAAGATAGCAAAATACAGAATTATTCCTTCACTTGAAGCTAAAAACTACAAGAGATACGACTTCTCACATACCTGAACCAACCAATTATCATTTCACAAAACTCCTGCGTCAGCCACCCGCTAAACGCAACACGAGGTAAAACTTTCTAGGAATTTCCGTAGTCCTTTCAAAGTAAAAGCTATGTAGCGCCTCACAGATTGATTCGTGCCGATTTTGTCTGTCTTGGAGGAAGAAAACATTCTGGCAGCTGGAAGCGGCCATTCTCCTCTGACCTCAGCCTCCAGTATCCCCGGCTATTCCCCCAGAGACCTGCTGCTCACTGGATAGTTTATGTTCAGACCATTCCCTGTAAACCATTGTTTAGAAAGTCCTAACACAGTCTCTGTAACACTGTACCAACAGCCGTGCCAGAGTCTGATGCTCGGTTTGAGCTTGAGCAGGTCATCGTGATTGTTTAGATATTTGCGTCATTCGGGCCAAATCATTTTATAGCAATGCAAATCCAATGATGGACGTGTGGTCCGCCTTTCTTCTTCTGACTGCGTGACTGGAGCTTAATTAAAGTGCCAAAGAAATCATATAATTTAATAACAACAGGGTTTCTTCTTACTCGCTCCTTTCACTGAGCCAGATCCTTTCGTTGCTACTTGACACAGATGCGTTTGAATCGCCCGTTTTTTTGTTTGTTTGTTTTTTAAAATGCGGTTTGTTTATTTGAAACACAGGTTTACGCTGCGTGGCGTAAAATACAGAATCCCGGAGGCTTCTACGGATCATTTTCAGCGTCTTAACCTTTTCAAACGCTCTTCCTTAGCAAAGTTGTTTGAGATGACATTTGGCTGACTTGTCGCAGCTGCACCTCGGCAGCTCCCTCCTCTGATAAAGTGTGACGGACAAGTTGAGGCAGGACTGAAGGTGTGGCAGTCGTGAGGAGGAGCACGCACTGTGTCGTGTAAGAAAACTTTATGGAACTTGTTGTGCTCTCTGACTTTTCTGTCGGTGAGCACTTGACTGTGTTGCAGAAGGATCTGAGTCAAGAACAGATCTGGGAGGGCTGTCGCAGCAGGAACGTCGGAAGTTGATTTCGCGTTCTCCCGGACACCTGAAATCTGCAAAGCTTAAAGCCGGACTCGTCAGTTCGTGGACATTTCCCCTTGAGATCCGGAGGATTTTTGCTTTAGGCCATGGAGAGAGCTTAAGATTCTCGAGGAAGAGGTAAGTACACTGACAGAGCCCCGGCACTCCTTAACGATTTCAAATATCAATCAGCTGTCGTTTTTCCCAGAGCTGTGCTGAGCAAAGGTCTGGGAAGCTGCATGGATTACGTCTCAGAATGAAACAGTACAATAGCAGCATTGCAGTGGAAGATAAAAAGCAGCGATAAAGTTCGTTAAGTTAATATTCATGGACAATTTGAACTGGAAAAAGACCAAACCTCAGTTCTAGGAAATGTTGCCAAGTCAGAAATGTGGAAATTAATTATTGACAAATGTGAGTTTGTCTGCCGTACATGTGTATAAGACTGTTTTTATATGACTTCTATACCGCCTGGTTATACTTTGAATGGTCAGAAACACTTGACTTGCTTTATTTGCGGTTGTGCAGAATAGACCAAAGAGTAGTTAAACATTAAAAGTATTAGGATAAGAAAAAGAGACTTCCTTTAAATTGAAGCGAGACTACTGAGACTACGTTGCAGCTACGGCACCAGTGCCAGACTTTTATAATAGTTCCAGATTTGTGAGAAGGAAATAAAAATGAAATTGCTCTTTGTGTTTTCTTGTTCTCCAGCCTATAGGCATTATTTATGCCTCCAAATCCCTAAACCTTTTGAATTAATATTCACTGGATGTGAATATTTTATGAAGAGCATTGATACATTTTGATGAGGCAAGTCTGTCTCTGCTAAATGGACCTCAACTATGTTTCCCAGAGAAACAGTTTAGGACTGTTTTGAGGCACATTTGCTTGTCTTCCAAACTCCTCAGATTCCCAATCTAATTGGCTAATTATGCAGTGGCCTGAAACATGGCCAGTGCCCAGAGGACCCTACATTTAACCAGTAGAGCCAGAAGGTTCCTCTCCCAGTGTCCTGGTGTCAGACAGCCATTCATAGTAGAAATAAGGAGAGTTGCCTGTGTGAGCCTTTTTTTTTTTTTCTAATTGTCCAATTTTATCACCTTTTCCCCAACCCTACTCTTCCCCTGCATATTTCTGTGCTTCATTTCTGGTCTGATCCCTTTGTGCCCCTTTTTACTTATTTCTAGCTTTTACTGCTTTACTTTCTTTTTTGCAGTACCCCCTTTTCCATTCTTCATCACTTCTAATACAGCTGCGATGCGTAGATTCAGCTCTGAGGGTTCCCTCCTTGATCTTGACTTCCCGACATGGAAAAAAGTGGCACTGAAGAATTCTGGACAAGACCACGAGTCTGGCACCTGCACACTTCACTTGCAGGATGATGAGCTGGCTGGGAAATCAGGTCACCTGACTCCCATCATCCAGGAGCCCACGGAGAGTCCGGGTGAGATGACGAAGAATGAGCTGACTCGGGAGCACAGCGTGAGTGCAGAGAACCTGTGCGAGCTGAGTAAACTGGAAAAGAGCCAGCTCAGAGGCTGTCTCATCAGTCAAGGCAGCAGAGCTTATAGTGACAGTCAGCTGGCCCCAGCTGTGCAGGGCAGCACTGAGAGCATGGAGAAAGCCGATCTGCCTCCATCGTCGCCTTCGTCCTCTTCCAGCTCCTTTAAGATGGAGCACAGACACCAACAGAGAGACAGACTGACAGCTGCTAAGCTGCACCTCAAGAGTCTTTTCGCACAGGTGCAGTAAATGACATTTCTATTTTGTCTCTATGCTGTGTTTTCGTGCAGCTGGTACTTTAACAGATTACACCCTCTAAATGTTGTTGATTTTTAGAGGAAGAAAAGCACGGCCACCTTCAAAACCCCCAAACTGTACATTTACCCATCCTCTAAACTCCTCATATCCCAGTCTAACTGCAGCTAATTGCAGCGTTTTCCAGCCTACAGAACACAAGTGATCCTTTTCACGTGTCCTGGTGCCACGAGGGGACGTGCACAATGCCTTACAAGGTTTAAACACTTTAGTAACTTTGAGCCTGTTTTTCACTTGGAGAGGCTTATAAGTGACAGGATGGCTTAAGTCAAACTGTCACTTTAGAGAGTTATACATTTCAAATAAGCAGCTGTGGTGTTCAGAAATATCACAATGTACACACTGAAATGTTAGCAAACAGCAAGTTGTTCACATGGTCAGCAGAAACATAGCAATAGCAGCTGAATAGTACAGCTGTTGTCTGAAATTCCCTTTTCCCCATAAATTCAGTATGATAGAAAAGTACGAGGAAATAAAAGTCTTGGAAAATAATCGAGACGGTCTCTAATGAGTGTCCCAAATTCCCAGTCTGCTCTGGGATCTGTGTAAGCTGGTGCAGTAGATGGCTGTGGCCACATGCACGTAGTCTCTCCATTCTGTTTGGCATCATTATGATCATGGCTCAACTGTTCAAATGGAACATCTTCTGGATATCTATTGTCTATTTAGTTTACTTACTCCCTCGTGCTCAATGCTGCTCTTCATTCTTTATGAATTTGCATTAAAAACAACCCACATGGGTCCAGTTTTTCACTCATGGGGTTTTCTGTTTGTACATGAAGGTAGATAAAACTGAATTTGAATAACTGAACTGTAAACTCAATGAAACAATTTGTCAGGCATCACTAATTTTCTTTTAATTAAAATGCATAATTTGCTACTGCAGTGCTGGAACTTTCCTGACACTAGAAGCTATCTGTTAACAGACAAGTGGAGATTATAGTAGAAGCACACGGCTGTGCTCAAAGGGTGTCATTTGATTGCTGGGTTTTTCTATGAGTTACTGCAAATAAACAATATATTAAGCACCTTGAGGCGACTGTTTGGTGATTTGGTGCTGCATAAATAAAACTGAAATGATACCTTTAATTGGGTCTGCCTTAAGTAGACTTTTTGGAAAAAAGAAAGGTCTCCTGTAATAATTAGTGTTGACTGGAAGCAGGATATTGAGTAGTGCAACAATATATATTTTATTTTGAGATATTTTAATCCAAACCACACAGGCTGCTTTAGTGTGAAATGACTAAAGAATTGAAAATAAGACAATGTGTGCATCAGATATGTTTTAGCTTCAGTCTTTTTCTGTGTACGGCCTCTAAACAGTCACTGTTGTTCAGTCGAGCTGTTTAAAGCTGCTGAGGTCTGGAACAACTTTCAACAAATGATGAAAAAGGTTAACTTCAGTTTACTGTGTGGTGCCTGTTTCAGAGTCCTCATTCGTCAAACTCCAACCTGGCCAACACAGAACATAAAGACAGGTGAGAACATGGCTAATTTTGTTAGTTCTGGTAAATGTAGAAATAACCCCCCCACCCCTTTTCAAATTTACTTTTTATCTTAGACTCACTTGCAGGGTCTCTCTGATTCTGGAAGTGAGTCGGTACTTATCTTAATGTTATAAGAATGTGAAGGTTTGATGTTTATTTCAATGACAGCGTTATCTTTGCTACCATCTCCTCTGACACGCCTTGACTCTCTGTTACCATCTTGTCCTGTATCGTAGTGGTAAAGAGAGAAGGTCTCGCCTTGTATTCATGCATCAGTGGAGTCAAGTGGGTCACAGTAGGAAGAGGAATTATAATCGAGATGAGCTGGAAAAATGGGCCGAGTCCTTAAATGTCCTGCTGGGAAGTCCAAGTAAGTCCTGCTTTTTTCTGAGTTTTGGGTCTGATACTTGACATTTTAAGCAGAAAACATTCTGACTGTAAATTGCTGAACTTGTATTCCTTTTAATTTAGAGGAATAGAAAGAAATGTCTTTAGGGGGATGGCTGAAGCACAGAAGCAAGTGCGTGTCTTCTACTAATCAGAGGGTTGGTGATTTGATCTGCATGCCAAAGTATCCTTGACATCCACACCATAGTGCATGCATCCCACTCTGTGTTCATCAGTCTCCTCCACCCACTATAAATCAAATCAAATCACTTTTATTGTCACATCACATGTGCAGGTACATTGGTACAGCACATGTGAGTGAAATTCTTGTGTGCGAGCTTCACAAGCAACA